AGCGGCATTGCGTGGGTGCCCGCTGCAACAGGGGGGGCTTCAACGCAGCCAACAAGGAAATCATGCGCCTCAAGCTGGAATTGAATGCGCATGAGGATCAGCACAAGAAGTTTGCGAACAGACACGGTCGTCGCATGCAGACTGTCGCCGATCGGGTTCTCGTAGTGTGGATCATGTATGCAGTTACTCTTAGTGGGGGTTTCTACGGATGTTCTCTTAGTGAGGACTCTTGAGTAATGCTCCCGCAGTAAGGCTTCTTCGCTGAGGTCCTCTTAGTGAGGACTCTTGAGTGAGAGTCCCTGAGGAAGGCTTCTTCGTTGAGGCTTTCGTAGTGAGGATTCTAGAGTAAGGTTCCCATCGGAAGTATTCTTCCTGGATTATTCGTCTGCAAGGGCCCTGGAGTGCTATTCCTGTAGTGCGACTCTTGAGAGAAAGAGTCCGTGGGTCAGGATTCTCCATGAAGGAGTGCGAAATCTTCTTTCAGGCTTTTGTAGCTCGAACTCTTGAGCGAGACTCCCGCAGTGCGGATTATTGATGAGTTTTCATTGTCATCTCCTTTTTTGTTTCCTCCTCCCTCTGTCATTTTTACAGTTGTTTTCTTTCTTTCGGCTTGTGTTTTTTTCCTTCAGAAGAAAAAAAGGGGAAACGCTCCGGAGTAGCATTGCCGTAGTGAGTTACCTTGACCCAACTTCTCTTCTTAGTAATGAGTAAGAATCCCGTGGGGAAAGATCCTGCGTTGATGTTGTCTTAGGTAGGACTCAGGAGTAGGAAACTCGTAGTGAGGTCTGTTCATTTTGGTACTCCTAGTTGGGGCTTCCGATTTAGACTCCCACCGTCAGGATTCATTATTCGGTGTCTCTGGGTAAGGACTCTTGAGTAATATTTCCGCAATGCGGTTTCTTTTTGAGGTTCTCTGAGTGATGACTCTTGATTAAAAGTCTCGCAGCAAGTGTAGTTTTTTCTTTTTTCTAGTGCGCGCATTTTTTCTGTTTAAATTTAAAGAAGCATGAAAATAGGTGAACCAATACATTACGGTACCGAGGAACCCCACATACCTATTTTGTTTCCTGTGTGTACCATCGGCACTAATTTTATTACCCAAACAACAACAACAAGTACTACTACTGATACTACAACAACAACTACTACTACTACTACTATTACTACTACTACTACTATTACTTCTACTTCTACTACTCTCACTCGTACTACTAAGACTACTAATGTTACTAGTACTAGTACTAGTACTAGTACTAGCACTACTGTTACTACTACCACTACTACTACTACTACTACTACTACTACTACTACTACTACTACTACTACTACTACTACTACTACTACTACTACTACTACTACTACTACTACTACTACTACTACTACTACTACTACTACTACTACTACTACTACTACTACTACTACTACTACTACTACTCATGATACAACTACATTACTACTACTACTACTACTACTACTACTACTACTACTACTACTACTCATGATACAACTACATTACTACTACTACTACTACTACTACTACTCCTACTACTACCACCACTACCACTACTATCACTACGACTACTACTATTATTGCTACTACTACTACTACTTCTACTGCTGCTGGTATTACTACTATTACTACTACTACTACTGCTGCTGCTACTACTACTACTACGACTACTACTACGACTACCACCACTACTACCACTACTACTACTACTACTACTACTACTACTACTACTACTACCACTACTAGTACTACTACTACTACTACTACTACTATTACTACTACTACTACTACTACTACTACTACTACTACTGCTGCTGCTGCTGCTGCTACTACTACTACTACTACTACTACTACTACTACGATTACTACTGCTACTATTACTACAGCTACAGCTACAGCTACAGCTACAGCTACAACAACTACTACTACAGCTGGCGTTGAGCAACAACATCGGCGCTGCGGCCATCCTCGTGCGGGGGCGAGGAGAAGGGCGTGTGCTGAAGTAGGTAGGCGGTGCTCTGAATCAGGGCTACAGGAGCGCGCCTGCGTGAGAGCGCAAGCGCGCCGAGCCGGCTTGAGCCAAGGTGTTTGCGGTTCTTGACGAGACATGGGTTCCCGCCCCCAGCGCACTCCGTGTGGCGTCGAGGAATTGCCGCGCCTGCCGCGCCCTGCGAGCCTGCAACGCATAGGGCCCCCACCCCCAGCGCACCCCCTGTGGCGTCGAGGAAATTCCACGCCTGCCGCGCCCTGGGAGCCTGCAGCGCATAGGGCCCCCACCCCCAGCGACCCCCCTGCGGCGTCGAGGAAATGCCGCGCCTGCCACGCCCTGCGATCCTGCAACGCATAGGGCCCCCACCCCCAGCGCGCCCGTTGTGGCGTCGAGGAAATGCCGCGCCTGCCGCGCCCTGCGAGCCTGCAACGCATAGGACCCCCAACCCCAACGCGCCCCCCGTGGCGTCGAGGGAATGCGACGCCCTGCGAGCCTGCCACGCCCTGGGAGCCTGCAGCGCAGAGGGCCCACACCCCCAAGCGCACCCCCTGTGGCGTCGAGGGAATGCCACGACTGCCACGCCCTGGGAGCCTGCAGCGCATAGGGCCCCCACCCCCAGCGCACCCCCTGTGGCGGCGAGGAAAACGCCGCGCCTGCCACGCCCTGGGACCCTGCAGCGCATAGGGCCCCCACCCCCAGCGCGCCCCTTGTGGCGTCGAGGACATGCCGCGCCTGCCGCGCCCTGGGAGCCTGCAGCGCATAGGCCCCCACCCCCAGCGCACCCCTGTGGCGTCGAGGGAATGCCACGCCTGCCACGCCCTGCGAGTCTGCAACGCATAGGGCCCCCACCCCAAGCGCACCCCCAGTGGCGTCGAAGGAATGCCACGCCTGCCGCGCCCTGGGAGCCTGCAGCGCATAGGGCCCCCACCCCCAGCGCACCCCCTGTGGCGTCGAGGAGATGCCGCGCCTGCCACGCCCTGGGAGCCTGCAGCGCATAGGGCCCCCACCCTCAGCGCACCCGCTGTGGCGTCGAGGGAATGCCACGCCTTCCACGCCCTGGGAGCCTGCAGCGCATAGGGCCCCCACCCCAAGCGCACCCCCTGTGGCTAAGAGGAAATGCCACGCCTGCCACGCCCTGGGAGCCTGCAGCGCATAGGGCCCCCACCCCCTACGGGCAATGCTGCGTGATCAGGGTATGTGTCTGTTTGTGTCTGTGTGCATGTGTGCGGTGTGTATCTGTGCTGTGAATATTTGTGTGCTGTCACAAGCACCCCTGTGTGCGGCCGCGGTGAGGGACCACCCCCTGCGCACCCCCTAGGCTGAGCTATGCTGTGCTGTGCTGTGCTGAGCTGGGCTGAGCTGTGCTGTGCTGCGCTGAGCTGCGCTGTGCTGCGCTGTGCTGCGCTGAGATGAGCTGAGCTGTGCTGACCTGTGCTGTTCTGTGCTGTGCTGAGCTTAGCTGAGCTGTGCTGAGCAGTACTGTGAGGAGAAGGGGAAGAGTGAGGTGTGAGGGTGAGTGTCGCGGGTGCGGCGCGGCAGAGAAGAAAACCTAAACCCCACGAAGCATGTGGGGAACAATATTCTTTGGACCATGGAGTAATGCTCACATCGTCTTTTCTCTTATGTATAACGTTTTTTTCTGTGAGAACGCTCGAGTCATATTATAATCGTAAGGATTTTGTTATTGCGGTTCTCTGAGTAAGAATTCTTGAGTAATATTCCCATCGTAAGGATTCGTTAATTAAGGGTCTGTGAGTAAAAACTCAAAATATTCCCATCGTAAAGGATTCTTCAGTAAGGTCCTCTTAATACGAACTCTTGGGTAATATTCCCACCGTCATGATTATTCACTCCGGTTCTCTGAGTAAGGGCTCTTAAGTAATATTCCCGTAGCCAGGCTTGTTTTTGAAGCTTCTTTTAGTAAGGATTCGCGAGTAAAGCTCCCGTGGTAAAGCTTCTTTGGTAATGTGTTGCCCCCCCCCCCCTTCTCCAGAGGGGGCGTCAGAAACCCGGCATACCTCCTGTGGGGAACGACGGGGAAGCGCGCCCCAGTGGACGGGGCTGAGAAAGCCGGTGTTCCCTTGTTGTTGCTGCTGTTGCGATTGTTGTTGCTGTTGATGATATAACAATGATGATGCTGCTGAAGATGATGCTGATGATGCTGCTGATGATGATGATGATGAGGAGGAGGAGGAGGTGGAGGAGGAGGACGAAGAGGACGGGGAGGAGGATGAGGAGACGGCGGAGGAGGAGGAGGAGGACGAGGAGGAGGAGGAGGAGGAGGAGGATGAAGAGAAAGGGGGGCGAACGGAGTGCGAGCAATCAATCGAATAATGTGTATGTGGTGGTGCAGTCCAGGGGCAGATGCAGGGGTGCCCTCCCCGTTATCATTTTTGCATCAGTTCGGTTTCATATTGTCCCGTTTGCTCCCCATCCTCCTTCCCAGGATCAGAAATGGGTTCATAGCAAATTCGTTATGTCGTGCGCGTTTGTGCGTTTTTTTTCTGCCATTTTCGCAGTCTGCAGGGTTATGCGAGACGAAGCGCTGGATGCGGCCGCCGAAGGATCTATGCGAAGCGCAGTCAATGCGAACGACCCCCCAAGGCCCGACCTCTCGTATACCTCGGACGTGCTTCAAACACCACGATCCCGACGTTTAGGAATTGACCTTGTAAGTTATAGGTTTCCAGATTTTCTGAGTTATTGGATGTTTTCGCTCCAGTGTGTTTTCTAGCAACCGCGCTTCGCCGAGGGTGTCGGGGGGCGCCCGAACCGTCCCGAGTGGTTTTCTCTTTGGCCCGACTTCGGCTCAGAGGAACCAGACGCCCACTGGTCTGAGACAGCTAGTGCGACCAATTCTCCCGAGCTGGGGCCTACGGAGGCCACGTTTGGGCCCCAGGATCAATCAGAAAAGGCCGCGCCGCCAAATCCACGCGGGGCCGAAAACTCTGGCGCCTACGCGTGGAACGGGTCGGGGAGGTCGGAGGTCTGGGGCCTGGAGCTGTCTTGCTGGTCCTCGCCTGCTCCGCGCGTGCACCCTGCAGGGCTGTGGATCCGCTCTGCCCTGCTCTCTGCTGCTTGGTGCCACTTGGCGTGCCGCCCGGCTGTCCTGCCTGGGCGGCGCAGCGCAGTGGTCGGAGCAGCCGCCCTGTCGGCTCCAGAGAAGGTGCCCGCGCGCGCCCCGGCCCAGCGGCGGCGTCTCCAGGCGCTGAGAGGCGCGCCTCCCCGGGGGGCCTGCGCGCTGTCGCCGTCCATCCTACTGCCACGCGTTCTCGCCTCTTCCGGGGACCAGCGGCGTGCGTATCGGAGACACGGCGAGGCAGGTAGTGCCGGCGTCGTTCGTGGTGGTGGTGGTGATGGTGGGGGTGATAAGCATGTGGAGGCTGGTGGTGCTGGTAGATCCGCTGAGTGATGGGATTATGTCGAGGAGGAGGAGGAGCGGGAGGAGAAGGAGGAGGAGGAGGAGGAGCAGGAGGAGGAGGAGGAGGTGGAGGAGAAGGAGGAGGAGGAGGAGGAGGAGGACGATGATGCTGAGTGTGGCCGCCTTCGCTTCAAATTGGGCCGCCTTGGGCCCTCCCCTCGCTGCTCCATGGTCCTCTCCTGCTCCTCTTACTTCCTCCCTTCGCGTCGCCGTTCTCTTCCTCGTTCGCTGCTCCACACTCCGCTCCGCTCGCACCTCCATGCTTCCCTCCTTGCACCCTCCAGTCCCTCTCTCCTATTTCGCGCTCTCCCCTCCCTCGTTCCTTCTCTTCCTTCCTCCTTCCTCCAACCCCCCCTTCCTCCTTTCTGATCGCTTCTTTTCCCTCCTTCCTCGTTCCTAGCTCGTGACTCTGACTTTCTCTATCTTCTTCTGATTTCTCCCTTGTCTCCCTTCTCTCCGTTCTCTCCCTCGTCTCCCGTCTCTTCCTTGCCTCCCTTCTCCGTCCCCATTCCTCCTCACATTGCACCATTCACTCCTGGCCTCCGTCCTTCCTCCTCGTCCCTCCTCCCTCCCCCCTCCAGAAACCTGTTAAAACTCTAAAACATTGCAGAAAGGCTCGTAGCATGGAAACCTCTTCGACCCTTCCACTCTGCCCCGGCGCTCTCCATCTCCTGCCCACTTCGATTTTTTCGATACGCGGGCCGTGGACCTCTCGACCCTTTCCTCAGGTTTTTTATCCTGGCTAGTGTTTTTGACGGTCCCCAGGCCCGAAGCCGGCTGCCACATTTTTAACATGAAGATAGAACAGCCGTTCCGATTTTTGTGGAGGCGCCGGGTGTCAGGGTCCTGTCCTGCTGCCTGGACCTCGTGCCGCCGCGCCGCGCCAGTGCATCCAACCCAGCAACCGCCAGAACAGAATGGGCGTGGATCGCGCCGAGGAGAGCGCAGCGCCGGCCGACCCCACTATATCCCACTGCAGTCGTCGGCGTTGTCGCCGTCGCCGTCGTCGTCGTCGCCGTCGCCGTCGTCTTCGTCGTCGTCGTCGTCGTTAGCAGTGTCGTCGTCGTCGTCGTCGTCGTCATGTTCGTCGTCGTCGTCGTCGTCGTCGCCGTCGTGCGTCGTCGTGCGTCGTCGTGCGTCGTCGTGCGTCGTCGTGCGTCCTCGTCGTCGGCGCCCGCCTCTGGGCCCGAGCCGCTGGTTACGGCAGCGGAAGGTGGTGAGACGGCCAGCACCTCAAACGTTCTGTGTTGCATTGCGAGCTTATGGCTGTTCGTGTGAGCCTTTGTGCAGCAGCCTTCCGTGCACAACCAGGGCAGCCTTCGCGACGGGCTCGGGTCTCGGGGGCCTGTTCCTGTGCACTAGCGCGGAGTTGACGCTCGCTGGTGGGAAGAATAATGACTTCTCGGGCCCCGCTCTCGGGCCCGACGCCTCTGCATCTCAGCGCTGTGGTGATGCACACCGTGTTGCCTCCCACCATGGCCAGACAAATAACATAGTTTTAGTATGATGACCATCTGTATCCTGTCACTGCCCGTACGACCGCAGGCGCTGAGCAATCAACAAGCACGTCGAAGCTAGAACATGGGATGTGTGATGCAAGAGTAGCACAACACCGCAAGCGTGTCAGACCAGCAGAGAACGGTCCATATACTATGTGGCGCCGCGAGGCGCGGGTACAGCGGTGTGGCGTCGTGAGGCGCGGGTAATCACGTCGTTTGCGGTCAGGCGCTGCGGGGCGGGCGAATGATTCTGTCCCCCCCGCCCCTTTCCCTGCCCTCCTCTTCCTTCTCTCTTCTGAGTTTTTCTTCCTTTGGACGACGACGAGGAACGCGGCGAGGAGAAGTTTGACGAGTCCCGTGAGTTGGACGGCGACGACGGCGACGACGACGTCGACGACTGCGCCAGGCGTCACCGTGTTTTGATTGCGAAGGCCTCACTGCGACCCTGAAGGCGGACGACGACGACGGCGACGATGAAAAATATCCAACAATTTAAGGAACTCAATGGTTTACCTCCTTGGGTTTGTCTTGGGAGTGCTCTTGGGACTTTCTTGGGCGCCTCTTGGAGCCTTCTGGGACCTCCTGGGGCGACAGGCTCGAAATGTCGCTTGCTGTTCCCCCTCTTGGGAGCCTATTGGGGCCCTCTGAGGCCTATGTGGTCGTCTTGGTCTTGGCGCCGTCTTGGGCCGTCTTGGGGACGTCTTGGGGTGTTTTCTGGCGCTTTTGGCAACTTGGATCGGAGCATAACAAGCGAGGACGCGAAATACATAGAGCAACTAGATGAAGCTTTCTATTTTTGGCCCCCTGGGGCCCTTGAGGCTCTTCTTGGATCACTCCTGAGGCGTCTTGCTTCCGAGGCCGTCTTAGAGGGTATCTCGGGCTGTCTTGGTGCGATCTTGGGCTGTTTCGGGGCCCTCTTGGAGCAAGCCGCGGTGCAAGTGAGCTCGAAGCGTCTGAGAGGCAAGACATCAAAGGGAAAAGCCTCTCCCAGGGAAAGGTGCCCCCCCAGGGGAGGAGGGGAGGGGGTCACAACCCCGGCAATCCCTCCGGGGCCCCCTTTGGGACCCTTCCCCTCTGCCCCCCCCTGGAATCCCCCCGGGGACCCCTTCACTCCCCCGCCGGGGAGTGAAGGGGTCCCTGGGGGGCTTCCCTTCGACTCGATTGCGACGCTGCTCGATTTCCCTTGGGCTGGAACGCTTGAGGAGGGGGGCCAGTGACAAGGGGGGGAGAACGGCGACGGCGACAGCGACGGCGACGGCGACGGTGGCGGCGGCGGCAGCGGTGGCGACGACGAAGACGATGACGATGATGACTACGACGACGACTCAAGCGGAGAAGCGTCAAAGGAGGGGAGCGGCGGCGACAACTATCCGAAAAGCCGTCGTCGTCGTCGTCGTCGTCGTCGTCGTCGTCGGCGTCGGCGTTGTCGTCGTCGTCGTCGTCGTCGTCGTCGTCGTCGTCGTCGTCGTCGTCGTCGTCGTCTGGTCGTCATCGCTGCCGTCATCGCTGCCGTCGTCGTCGTCGTCTTCGTCGTCGCCGTCGTCGTCGCCGCCCAGGACCGCAGCCGCTCCCCCCGCAAGAACGGGGCCGCCGAGCTCCCGGTGGACGCCGAGCTGCTGGACGGGCACAGTGCCAAGGAGATTTTCGAAGACAGGCTGCGGCGCGCCTGATCGCCACCGCCGCCGCCTGCCTTCGCCGCTGTGGCCGCCGTCGCTGGCCTCCGCCGCCTCTGCGGCCTTCGCCTCCGCTGCCGGCCTCCGCTGCCGGCCTTCGCCGTCGCGGCCTTCGCCACCGCCGCCGCTGCCGCCGCTGTCGTCGGCCTGCGCCGCCGAGGAGAAGCAGGATCAGCAGAGAGGGAGAGCAGAGGATCAGGAGGAGAAACATGAAGAGGCGAAGAAGGAAGGACGAGAGGACGTGGATCGTGAGGGTCATGGTGCTGCTGAGGATGACGAGGGGCAGGCGGAGAATAAACGGAGAACATGGAGGGAACATGGAGGAGGGATGATGCAGGAGGGATGAGGCTGAAGATGCAGGAGTCTATTATACTTGGGAAAGGATGATGATGATGATGATGATGATGATGATGATGGTGGTGGTGGTGGTGGTGGTGGTAGTGGTGGTGGTGGTGATGATGATGATGATGATGATGATGATGATGATGATGATGATGATGATGATGATGATGATGATGCTGCTGCTGATGATGATGATGATGATGATGATGATGATGATGATGATGATGATGATGAGGAGGAGGAGGAGGAGGAGGAGGAGGAGGAGGAGGATGAGGAGGATGAGGACGGTGGACAGGAGGTACTCTGCTGCGTTGGATGGCGCAAGGATGAGGCAGGGCATACTGGGTTGGGGTTCACCCACCGCGGGCTGGTTCCGCCGAAGCTTGCCGAGACCATCGAAGGCCGCCCCAGACCGCAGACTGCCGAGGGCCGATGGGCAGCAAGGGGTCACGGATCGAACGTGCAGTTACCGCCGGATCGGCGCCAGGAGCGCGCGCGTGGGCTTCACGTACGACGACCTGATCTGCCTGCCGGGGCAGATCAATTTCGGGGTCGGGAGCTCCGCCCCCCTGGGCTGCGGGGGCCGCCCGCGCACCCGGGAGGGCCTGCCGAGGGCGCGATCGGGGAGTGGCAGGGCCTGGCCGCGAAGGGCGAAAGACGACATGTGCACGTAGTTTCCGTGCGCTCAAAACTGGGGGTCGTTTGGAGCTCGCTCCTCCTCTCCCGCCTCCCCCCTTCCTCCTCCTTCTCCCGCTCCTCTCTCCCTCCCTCCCCCTCCCCCTCCTGCTTCCCCTCCCCCTTCTTCTGCCCCTCCCCCTCCCCCTCCTCCTGCTGCTGCTCCTCCTCCTCCTCCTCCTCCACCTCCCTCCTCTTCGTCGGCGTCGTCTTCCTCCTCCTCCTCCTCCTCCTCCCTCCTCCTCCTTCGCCTCCTCCTCCTCCTCCCAGTCCTCCGCCTCCTCCTCCTTCTCCTCCGCCTCCTCCTCCTTCTCCTCCTCCTCCTCCTGCTGCTCCTCCTCCTCCTCCTCCTCCTTCTCCTTCTCCTCCTCCGTCTCCCTCCCCCCTCCTGCTCATGCTTCTGTTCCTCGTCCCCCTCCCCTTCCCCCTCCCCTTTCCCCTCTTCTCCCTCCCTCTTCTCCCCTCCTCCTCCCCCTCCTCCCCGTCTATGCTGTTTACTGAAACATAGCTCCTCCTCGTCGCACTTCGAGGGCAGTCGGAAGGGTGGGCCAGGCCTTTCGCCTCGGACTTCCTTTCAATTAATGCTGCCGAAGCTTCAAATTCGTCAACAGTTTCGCACATGGAGGGCGGGCCGTTCTCAACGTGTGGCTTCCGACTTTGCGTGGCACGCACTCGTCTCAAACATTTTCACTAATTGAGGGCGAACCGTTTTCAAACACTGGCTCTCGTCTGAGCGCCGTGCTCATTCGTCACAATTTTGCAAGAGTTTCAAGGATGAGGACCGGGCCCTTTTCAACCTGTGGCGCTCGCCTTAGCGCCGCGCGTATTCGTTTTTTCATTGATGTCGGGCAGGCCGTTTTCGCACAGTGATTCCCGCCTGATCGCCGCGCACTTTTTTCGTCAGCGGCGAGGCGGCGAATTCCGCTCCAGCGAAAAGCTAGATATGGGGACTTACTAGCGACTTGGCCGGCGAGCAAAGAAAGAAGGGGCACGGCCGAGAGGAAAAAGGGACGTTCAGACGCCGACGAGTTCGGCGATGAGCAGCCGGGGGGGCAGCAGCAGCCAGGCGCGCAGCGCCAGAGCGCGGTGGGCGGCCGTGGCGAGCCACGGTGGCAAGGGTGGCAGGGAGTGGCAACCAGCGTCAGGGGCTGGCGGGGAGCACGGTGGAACACCGCGAACGATGTACAGGGGCGCACCGAGGAGAAGGCACAGCATTGAGCCGTGCGCGGGCGGGAGCAGCGGCCGGATGGCTGGCAGTGAAGGGACTTCGCGGTTTGACCGCCCGAGGGAGGCGGGGCGGGAAACAGCGGGCGAAGCGTCCCAGGCGCCCGCGGGCTGTAGGAACAGCAGCGCGGGGAGGAAGCGGGACAGCGGGAAGTGGCGACGCGGGGATGTTGGCAGAGAGAGGGGAGTGGCGGCCCATGGCCGTCTGGGGGTCACAGGGCAGAGAGGGGCGGGGCAGGTGGCGGCGGGCTAAGCGTCCCGGGGGCCCCCAGGAGCGGGGCGGAATAGCGCCGCAACGGGAGGAAGCGGCGCGGGGCCGCCGCGGAAGGGGGGGAGCTCCGACGGGTGCGGGCGCTGGGTAGCAAAGCAAGGCGGCCCACAGGGCGGTTCTGCGTGGTGTGACGGAGATGCACCGAAGTGGTACGAGGGACGGTGATTGAGCGACGCGCGTCCCACGCGGGAGGTACGTCGTGAGGGGCGGTGGCGGGGAGCACCGAAAGGTGGAGAAGCCGGGTAGTCGGGGAAGCAGCGAACTGGTGCAAAGGACGGTGAGCGAACGACGCGCGTCCCACACGGGAGGTGCGTCGCGGAGAGCGGCAGCGAGGAGCACCGATGGTTGAGGATGCCGGGTGACGACGCTGGGCGGCCCAGTGGGCGGTGCAGCGGGGTGCAGCAGAGAAGCGCCGAAATGGCGCAGGCGACGGGGAGTGATCGACGCGCATCCCACACGGGAGGTACGTCGGGAGGGGGCGGCGGCAGGGAGCACCGGGAGGTGCAGAAGCCGGGTAAGGACGCTGGCGACCCAACGGGCGGTCCAGCGTGGCGCGTCGGGGAAGCACCGAAATGGTACAGAGGACAGCGAGCGAGCGACGAGCACCCCACGCGGGAGGTACGTCGCGGAAAGCGGCAATGGGGAACACCGCTGGTTGCGGAAACCGGGTAACGACGCTGGGCCGCCCACTAGAAGGTGCAGCGGGGTGCAGCAGAGCAGCGCCGAAATGGCGCAGTGGACATGGAGTGAGCGACGCGCCTTCCACACGGGAGGTACGTCTCGAAGGGGCGGCGGCGGGGAGCATCGGGAGGTGCAGAAGCCGGGCGGGTGACGACGCTGGGCGACCCAATGGGCGGTCCAGCGTGTGGAGACGGGAGGTACCGAAGTTGTGCAGGGTGCAGTGAGTGCCGCGCACATTCGTCTTACGAACTTGCAAGAGTTTCGCGGATGGAGGGCGGTTCCTTTTCAAAATGTGGCTCCCGCCTCAGCGCCGCGCGTATTCGCGTTCAACATTTGCACGAGTTTCACGGATTCGGATGGTTACCGAAACGATGTGTTGGAACGATCCAGGATTTTCAGCGCAACAGTTACATATATTCGCGGTGTTGACGTCTCAGGAATGGCGTTCTGGCGCGATTCGATATCTTCTAGACGCAACAATCTGGTTGATTCGCGGCGCTGAAGTCCGAGAGTTTTGGTTGGCAAGCTTCAGGATCCTTATAAGTCGTTGCCATCCAACGGTTCAGTTTCCTGTGGGAAAATGGCTGTTGTAGTGGCTTGCGAAAAAGGAGCTCAGAGGAGGGTTTATTCCAACATCGTGGGTGGGTCTTGGGTTTGCACTGGTCCTCTACCCTCCTTGTCCTCCCCCATCCTTTTTCCTCATAAGCAACTCCTCCCTGTCGCACTCCGAGGCTTGTCGCTAGGGCGGGCTGGGCGTTTCGCGTGAGACTATTTCGCCATGTACGATCCTTGAGCAGAGGATTGTCAAGAGGTTTACGGATGGATCGTTTTCAAAATAATGCTTCTCGTTTGAGCGCCGCGTGCATTCGTCTACAAACTGACAATATTCTCACGGATGGATTTTTTCCTTTTCCTCAAATTGTGGATCTCGCCGAAGTGCCGCGAATTTATCGCTTTAAGATTTTGCAGCCGTTTCCATGATGGATGGCAGACCGTTTTCAAAGAGTGGCTGTCGCTCGAGCGCCGCGCACACTCGTCTTACAAATTTGCAAGAGTTCACGGATTGATTTGTTGTTTGTAAAAAAAATCGGATCTCGCCTTAGTGCCGCGCACATGTGTCTTAAACTATTGCAAAAGGCGTCACGTATGGAAGGCGGCTGCTTTTCAAAGTGTGGTTCTCGCCGCAGGGCCGCGCACATACGTTGTTATACAGTTTGCAAGAGTTGCAAGGGTTCGCATGGTTAACGTGCCCCGATCTGGAGTTCTGGCGCGATGTAGGATTGTCAGGTTTCAAGCGTTACTTGGAATCTCGGTGTTGACGTCCCAGGAATGGTGTTTTGGCACGGTTCAGGATTTTCCGCACGCAACAGTAACGGTGATATCGCGGCGTTGTCCCATGGATGGTGTTGTGGCGTAGTTTTGGATCATCAAACGGTTGTTTTCCAACGGTGCATTTCCCGCAGTGACAGTGGTTTAGTGTAGGGCTTGCGCAGAGATCATTTTGGGGGAGAGTCTATCACAGTATCGTTGGTGAGTCTTGTGCTTGTACTGGTCCTCTTTGCCTTAAAGATAGCTCCTCCCTGTCGCACCCCGACGCCGGTCGACAGGTCGGGCCGGGCGTTTCACTTGAGATTTCTCACCACTTATGACCATGATGCTTAAACCTTGACAACAGTGGCTCTCGACTTAGCGTCGCGCACGCTTGCATATTCGTATTCAAAACTTGCAAGAGTTTCACCGATTGAGGGCGTGTACTTTTCAAGGTGTGGCTCTCGCCTTTTCGCCGTGCATGCTTTTTCAACAATTGCAAGAATTTGACGGGTTGAGGCCGGGCCGTTTTCAAAATGTGGCTCTCGCCCTAGCGCCGCGCGCATTTGTTTGAAGCATGAAGAAGAGTTTCACGGATTGAGGGCGGGTGGTTTTCAACATGTGGCTCTCGCCTTTGTGCCGCGCACATTCGTTAAACAACAGTTACAAGAGTTTTCAACATGTCGTTCTCGCCTTAGCGCCGCGCGCATTCGCTAAAGAAACATGTAAGAGTTTCTCGGATTGAGGGCAGTTTGTTTTCAAACTTTGGCTTTCACCTTAGCGCTGCGAACATTCATTTTGAACATTTGCAGGAATTTCACGGATTGAGGGCTAGCTCCTTTTCGAATTTTGGCTCTCGCCTTGGTTTCACTGGTTTCCATTGTTGACGTACCAGGCATCGTGTTTTGGAACGGTTCAGGATTGTCAGGGCGCAACAGTTACGTTGACTCGCGGTGTTGACGTCCCAGGCATGGTGTTCTGGCACCATTGAGGATCGCCAACACGTAACCGTCAGGTGAACTCGTGGCGTTGAAGTCCTGAGCATTGTGTTTTTGGAACGCTCCAGCATGTTTACACGGTTGTCCCCCAACGGGACAATTCCCTCAGTGGAAGTGCCCCCTTGTAGAGGCCTGTGAAGAGGAATCTTGGGGGGAGGGTGTATTTCAACATCGTTGATGAGTCTTGGGTTTACACTGGTTCTCTCTTCTCCTCCCCTTCCTTCTCTTCCTCCTCCCCCTGGTGGTTACGAGGCGACCTGATTGGTATCGGAGATTTATAAGCTTTCGGAGGTATGTGCGAGGGAGGGGGAGCGAGGGAGGTAGGCAAGGATGGATGGATGGATGGATGGAGAGACGGATGGAGGGAGGGAGGGAGGGACGAAGGGAGGGAAGA